CGGCGGCGGCCCATGTGGAGCGGGAAGCTGAGTCGTCAGCGCTGCCCGGATCGAGCAGGAGGGTGAGGCCAGAACTGCGCTGCCGGGGCCTGCACGCAGTGAGCGCGGGCACCAGCATCCGCCGTGCCTCGGCCGCACCATGAAGGGGTGAGTGCGAGCATGGGTCGGGGCTCGGCCTCGCCGTGGCAGAGCGCCGATGGCGGTTTCGGTCGCGCCGTTTCCGCCCTTGTGTGGAGCGGGAGCGAGGGGCCTCAGCGGCGTGGCCGGGCCAAGCACGGGCGTGGGCGAGTGCCTGGCAGTCGACCAGAGCCTGGCCTGCACCGGAGGACCGGCCTGGACAGCACCTCCCGCCACTGTGGGGAGGTGGAGGGGCCCGAGCAGGGCCCCTCGGTGCTTCTCCTGCTTCAGTCTGTCTGAAAGCAGCCAGAGACCACTGCAGTCTCGGGGTTGGGTGCTATGATGGGTAGAGGGACAGTGATGTGCACTGGGGGGCTGGTTTAGCATGGAGACCTTCCTGGCTATGAAAAGTCTCTTGCTCGAGGAAAAAGCTTCCTATGGGAGCCCCCTCTGCACCCCCCCATACTCATGGACACTTTGATTTTTCACCTGTTTCCAGGGTGCAGGCTCTTTTTTTGCCCGATCTGGCTTCACTGGGTGGGTGGGAAGCATGGGCTTTTGCCTCGTGCTTCTGGGTGGCTGCAGGCTGAGGTCTTCACCAAGTCCCTCTGCAAAGCAAATCAGGAGCACAGGCAGTTCTGGGAATTCTGGCTGGTTTTTTACTTGTCTGGCAACAGTGAAGAATTGTTGCTTAGCCTGTGTAGAAAAGCTGCAGGTTTGCAGCATCTCTTGAGCATTAAGTCTCTACGTCCTTATCTCTGTGGAGCCTGTAGGATGCCGAGGGATGAAAATGAGTTGCATTCTGTGTTTATTTTCTCCAGCATGTGGCTTTGGGCCTTACTTTCCTTCTCAGTGACTCTTGAAAGCCTAGAGATTTCAGATGTGGTTGACTGAAACACACTGTTTGCTACCCAGAGGAGGTCATAAGGTGTTGAGGAGGCCGTGAGGTTAGAGGCCTTTAAAGTCTGAGTCTTGTTCTGGAGTCTGAAAACCTGCATGACCTTGTAGAGACCACTTTGGGACAGGCTTTTACTTGTTGGCCTACTTGTCTGTTGCTTATTGATTTCGATGTCGTTTGTGTTCTGGAAAGTGTAGTCCTTTTTTTTGCCTCATTTCTGTGTAAAGGAAGTTTTTCCACAGCTATTTCTTAAAGGAGATTTAAATCTTCCTTGAAACTAGGGTTATGCAAGTGCTGGGTGTTACTATTCCAGTTTGGCAGCTTAAGGCAGGTTGAATGGAAGTTGAAGCACTTAAGCTTTTTTGCTAAGAAATGGTAAGGGGTTTATCTTGTTAATAATTGAGGTGAGGTCACACAGTGAGACTGCTTCATAACAGGTACTTGGCCATCTCTGACTTCCTGTAAACAGCTTCACATATCAGGAAGCACAGTAACTATCTGTAAGAAGGAATTCAGTGATGATGATAAACAAAATGTAACAAGGAATCAATTCTCAGCTGATAGCAGATAGCTAAGATTGGGATCTTGGGCGGTGCTTTATGTGTCTGTGCTGCCCTACAAGAAATGGGACATCCCGCCTGCTGATAACAAAAGAATGACAGAGCTGGTGACAAGAGCAACTGTCCTAATGAGCAGATACCAAGTGGCAGTTGAGGTGTCTATTGTGACTATTGTTTAACTGCTCTCCTCTTGTCAGAACTTGGTTTCCTTTTATCCTCTGTAGACCTTTCTACTGTTTTCTACAGTTTATCCCTGCTTTGGCATGCATGCATGCATGTCAGTGGCAAGCTGAATGACAAGAGTTATTCAGGCTGGTATGATACATGGAAAGCTGCTCAGGCATGTAAGGCTGCAGCCACAAAGGTTTCATGGTAGGTCACAGCCAGAGCTGTCCACTGTGCTGCTGAGGCAGGCTGTGTGCAGGCTAGGGGCTGGAACCAGGCTCCTCGCTTCGGTTGCAGCTTTCAAGACTTATGTTTTGGATTTTTTTTTGTTGTTTTGTTTTACTGGGTTTTTTTTGCAACTTCTTTGCAACTTTTTGCAATAAAATTTTAAAATGCTTTACCTGCCATAGTACTGAACCTAATAGCCATTTTTTTTCTTAACTTAAAGGCATTTTATCACTGATTTGACTTTGGGGGAAGCAGAACTGGTCTCTCTCAGGTTTAGCTTTTCTGGTAGTCTTTCATTCCTTTGAAGAACAGCATGTGTTTTTCTAGTAAAAACACTCTTAACACCATACAGCAAGATTTATGCAAAATGAAATCTTAGTACTAAGTCTAGGTGCTCTGTAATCAAATTGGGAGAAGTAGGCCAGCAAAACTCAAATTGAAAAATAACTCAATTTATATAGCTCTTTTGTTCTCTCATTGTATTTAAAGATTTCAGCAGAATGTGTTTACTTACATAAGTAAATCAAATCTTTTTCTTTTTCCAATATAAAAAGATCTGAGAAGATCCCCCAAAAGCAAGTTGTGTCAGAGAACAGGGCCAAAAATAGATCTTAAAGCTTCAACTCTACAATATATGAACTCATCCATTCTCTGAAAGGAGAAGGAAGTGATTTAAAATTTGAATAACTTCTCAAATTGGCAAATATTAAACTTGTTCAGATCCGTTATTTAAGGCGACACTCTGTGTGTGTGTGTGTGTGTGTGTGTGTGTGTGTGTGTATCTCCACACAGAAGGAAAGGAGGGAAAGATGTCAGAAGTCAATCCTTAAATTGACTTAAATTGGTTGAGAATTAGTAGAGAAAAATGCAGACCATCTTGTGTCATTTTTTTCTCAAAGCAAGGTAGACAATGTCAGGAGGATTTTTCTCTCTTCCCTGCTGAAAGACAAGAAGAGGTGACCTCTGTGTTGTTTCTGGCAGTTTTGGAGGAGTAGAAACTTGTGGGAGAGAGAGGTATTTGAAGTGAGGAAGGAGAGGAAAGAATGAAATGGTCTATGCATAGAAGACCTGTTGGTTATTCAAAGACCTGAGAACATAAAGAAGTATGTCATTGAAATGAGACAGCTGTGTATTTGCATCAAAAAATGCACATTGAATTAATTCATTAAGGGAAGGAAATGAGGTGAGACTTCATTAAAAATAGAGAATTGAAAAAATTTTGACAATGGGGTGGCTGCAACTAAGATATCCAGCCAAATTTTTGCAGAAGCAGAGTAACTTTTTGGTTCAGTTCAAAATGTCTTGCAATATAGCGAGAACATGTCGCATAAAATACTTCTGGAGCACACTTGACCTTTCTCTCCCAGGATGCATTTGATTTTGGTCCTTATCAGGCTTGAATCTGAATCCCTGAAAAAGTTCCCCATTTTCATTACTTGACTATTGTATAACATTCTTGTGAGAGTATAGGGAGAGATGAAGGTCTTTGGGCAATTTCTTCAACAAATTTCTTCTTGCCTGTGAAGTTCACCTATTAGATTGAAATTAGCGGATAAGTAGTTCTTTAACACAGATTTTCATTCAAGAAGAATTCATGCTTCTTGAAGACTGGGGAAAGGATAGAGAAAAACAATCTGTTGTGCATTATAAATTAGTTTTTTTTAATAGTTGCTGCCTTAGGCATAATGAAGGTAGACACATAAAACTGTTATTTCATTCTGTTTTGTGAAGAATATACTCTGAAAAAAAAATAGTACAGAATTTGAAAATCTCAAAAAACAATTCATGATATGGACAGGGGATCCATAATGTCCTGCTTCATTTTCTTTACCAATGTAGTGTACACCAGCACTTGTGAAGAAAGATGTTTCAGTGATTCATTGTAGTAGATCATGTGAAGCAGGTAAATATCTTTCTTCTGATATGTCAGTTCTATCATGAAAAGCTTGTTGCGTTATACAAGTACAAGAAATGTCTTTGAGCCTGCTGAGCTCCCTGGATTTAGGTAAATGAGACACTTAACCCCACATTTAGGTCTGTTTTGAATTTGGCCTCTGCTCTTACATGAGGATCATGAAGTAATCAAGGGCTTCATGAACACTAATTAGTGAAGGGTCATGACCCTCTGAGAGGTAAATAGAGACTGTAATTTTCATATCCAGGCACACTGAGGTATGTAAAGGGGTACAGCCCCAGGGTATTATCACTTTGGGCTAGTAATTTCAAACTGAAGTACTTTTGCTTAGACTGCAGTCATGTTTCTAAATCAGAATGTTCTTGTGAGTTTAACTGACTTGCAAGGAAAAATGTTTAGGCTAGTGCTGGAGAGTTAAGATGTCTGATAACTTTTTACCTGCTACATAATCACAGTCAAGTTGTTTCCTCTTTCACCTTACTTGTGTTGCATGTTTCCCAGGTGCATCAAAGCTTTTGCCTTATTAGGAGCTTTGAAGAAATTAAATGTTAGGGGCTTCTAAGCTATGTATGTGTGGTTGCTATTCTGTTCTACGTCAGCTGCAGTTTATTTCTGAGCATCTCAGAGTTTGAAAATTCTGTCAGCGTGGCATGTCAGTTCCTGTTCTTTGTATCCAGCTGTAGAAGGACAGAACTCTTTATTGTCTCAAAAAGCTTCGTTTTGTCTGTCACTTGTTGAAATGACCTCTTTGTGGTGCTCTCCCTGCCTGTCTCTGGGTTTTTTGTAATTGCATTGCTACTTTAGATTTAGAGTGACTTAGTGTCAGTGTTTTTAGGATTTTGTAAGGTTTTCTCTTTTTTTCTTTTTTTTTTAATGAGAATGCAGTATAGACTTGCAGTCCAGTAAATCCCTCAAAGAACACGTCTGAAAAATTCCAAAGCTACTTTATCACAACTTAGATTCTTGCAAGTAAAGACTAGCCAATATTCTGTAAAATGATGGGTCTTTCTAGGTTGAAGCCAAGTGACTTGTCTAAGTATAGTGAAGATATCTGGGTTGTAACTCGTCAATTATTTTGTCCTTATACAGGAGAGAGGCAAACAAGGGTTCAAATTGTCTTTTGCAGTTATGACATTTGTTGGCGAAACCCATTTGCATCAAGACCCTCTTGAACTCAGTCTTGCATTTATCTTTCATTAATTCAGATTCTAAAACTACTTGGCTGTCTTGCATACATCACTCTGCACTTTTGCAATGCAGCACA